TAGCCTCCTCCGTGCCCCTCTCTGCTGCGCTCCTCCTTGGGAGGAAGCAGCCGGCGCTTGGATGCGCTTTACACCCTCCCTGCCTTGCCATGGCCTCCACCATGTTCGGGGGGGTCTGAGACTCCCAGCCCTGTCCGTGCCACCCCCCTTGCGCTCTCCTTCCTGAGGAGCGGCTCTTCCACCTCATCTCTTCTTCAAAATACAAGGGGCTGAGCCAGGAGTCGGTGAAACTGAAAATCCCTGCGGGACACTCCCTGCCTTTTGTTTGGCAGCTGGGTAAAAGTTGAAGTCCGGCTTTGCACCACGTATTCTGGATGTGCCCGTCTTGGGGGTGGTTTTGGGAGCAGGTTCGGTGACGTGGCCGGCGCTGGGGAGGGCTTTGCGGTGTGGGAACGCTGCGTGCTGTGGCGCTGGTGATAAGGCGGGCGCTCCGGGCGCGATTAGCTCCCACGGAGCGGGGAACCGTGCGCAGGTTGCTCGGAGGTGGCACGGGGCCGAGCGAGCCTCAGGGCGAGATGTGGAAAAAGCACTGCGTGTCCCGGCCCAGTGACGTTCAGCGCCGCGTCCCGAGGGCTCCTGACCTTGGTGCCTCTCAAGGCCTTGGAAAGGGAGGATTTGGCTTTACAGGGAGCCTGAAGGAGTTCTGGAGGCCGAGGAGGGTGTTTGGCTTTCACTGGGGCATGCAGCAGAGGTTTCTCGGGTACCTGCGCAGAGCTGGTGGTCGCGGTCACCGAGGCGAGGGTGCAAGTCCAAGTGCACCAGGCTGGCCTGCACGTGCTGCCAGAGAGAGGAGCTTATTCCCCTCTTTTGGGAGGAGAGGGGTTAAGTCAAAGCATCTGGGCTAAGCCCTTGCGGGAGGAGGCTGAAACCTCCCAGGCTGGTGCTCTCCTAGAGAACAAAGCTCGCAAAGTGGCAGTAAGCTCTTAAAACCTGCGGGAATGTGGGTCCTTCCGAAGGGGCAGGCAGCGGTTGCTGCGGAGGGAGCCAGCCCCGGCCCGGAGGGGGTC